ATGTTGTTCTCACTACACCTTACCACAAACCCTCAAAAGTAAGCTACTGCCTTCGCCTCGTCGCAGTTAATTAGGATGAGGAAATTCTGAGGGTCTTTTTTCCAAACCTCCTCTTTCTCTTCCCTTCCCTCCCCTCCCCTCCCCACCTCTCCCCTAGACTGTTTTCCCAGAATAAATAAGTGTCTATACAGCTACCTACTGCCACAACAGGAATGCATTCTCAAATCCAGATGGGGGATACTTACCACATTACTGGGAAATTGTGTGTCTGTACCAGTGTTTCTCAATTACCTTGTAGGTGCTGGCTGCCATGCAGCTGTCCCATATTATTGCCTTCCCAGCCCTGGGACTGGTGACACTGGCACAAAGGACTGAATCTTCTGGTTTGAAGCTCTGCACCTATTCATTTCTCTCAAAGTGAAGGGAGACTCTGGATGTGATGATTTAGCTGACTTTAGTTTAGTGGAGCGAAAGAAGGGGATAGGACAAGGGGCAATGCATGCAAGCTGGAGCATAGGAGGTTCCACATTAACATAAGGAAAAAACTTTTTCACTGTGGGGGGACAGAGCACTGGAACAGGCTGCCCAGAGAGGTTGTGGAGTCTCCTTCTCTGGAAATATTCAAAACCTGCCTGGACACATTCCTGTATTGACCTGCTCTAGGTGATCCTGCTCTGGCAGGGAGGTTGGACCAGGTGATCTTTTGAGGTCCCTTCCAACTCCTAACATGCTGTGATTCTGTGATTACTGTCATCTGTGGTCTTTCTCCCTGCTTTGTAACAGCACAACAAACATTTACTTTTCTATAGAAAATGATAGCATAGAAAAAGAAATTGGTAATGCTTAGTTTTGCACGCTTCATCGATTTTCTTTAATGATTTTATTCTAAAAAGAGGCAGAAATGTAAATCATTTTGAACGAACTCATACTCATACCTTGGGTATTCATTCAGGGGACAGATAAGGAATGAAATTAAATGACACACAATTATGTTTGATGTTTCTTGTATTAAGCAGAGTGGTTCTGGGGACAAAAATGCACAACCTACCTAAATAACCGGTTACGTTGATGCTAGGCCTAAATCCTTTATGATGCCTCTTTCATTTGGAATTTTGAGTGAATCTGGGTATGAGTTAAATATCTAAACATGCAAAAGGACAGCTCTTTGTGAACACATCCAGAAAAAACAGTTGCCCCTTGTCTATTTTTCAAATGCTTTGGCTTCTGTGGTCACAGAGACTGTAAAGCATCCTAGTGAGAAATATTCTTGTCTTGTAGCAGGCCCAGATTATCTGGCACTCTGCGCTGGATCTCGGACAGATACAACACATACCCCCTCGCCCGGTGAGATGCTGGCACCAGGGGAGTTCGCGGGACCATTGTCAGCAACAGCAGCATGGTTTCACTCTCTGCACACACCCTTTCCTGGGGAAAATTGTTCCATATAGTAACTGATGCCAGTAAAACTACTGTTATATTACTTCATCACACTGCTGATTTAATGTAGACAAGCATTCTGTGTTATATAAAGGATTTGGAGTGTGCAGCTATAGCTCTGGCTGCTTTGCATAGGTAGGTGCATCTGCTGCAATCCGCAATCTAGTTCCTCTTTTGGGAAACCCTGAGTTGCCGCTTGACACTTGTCAGGATGCAAAACCATCATTTTGGATGGCTGTCTCAACAGCTTCTCTAGCCGTTACTGGAATGAAGTTGCTGATAGTGTGGAAAAGTAAAGGGAGTGCTACAATTCATATATACAACCTTTATTAGTCGGAGTCATTGACAGCAGAGGTAGATTTGAATATATAGTACTTTACGTATAAATAAATGCAGCAAAAGAGAACAAAAATTCAGGATCTGTACATTTTGAGAAGGTTAATGGGTGTGCAACTGAACTTCACACAGAAACAGATCATGTAAGCATACCTATGTTCACATTTGGAACATTTCTGAAAAGCGAACAGGTGAGTAAAATCACATCTAAGAGCTAAGTCTTGAAATCCTTATTCATCCTTTCTCCATGTGTCCTCAGAACAGCAGACCCTGACAACAGTGAGATAGGCAAATACTCTGGTACTCTGAAAACTAAGTTTCCTCTTTGGAGTTAAGCCATGGATTCAGACACTCAGATTTTTAAGCTGCAAGTCCTGGAGAATCCACTCAGAGGCTTGGTCGCTGGTTTATTCTGAGGTTTTTGTCTGATTGAGATAATACGTTGTGGCTCTTCTGTACAGATGCCCATGTCTGTAAAAGGGATTTGCAAACATGCAGCAGCTTGTCCATCTCTGCATCACACTGCGAGATCGAGTCATAAATCTTTCTCAAGAAAAATTTCTCATTTAGAAAGAGCAAATAAAAACCACATGATTTGCGGTACATCACCAGCGCATGGAGATCGTTTCCTTGATTTCAGTAAACTTTGGCTCTGACCCATAGAGTGGGGTCCTGAGGGACATCAAAGGTGTTGCATGTGAAAAAATTCCTCAATTGCTTTTGCTAATCTGGGATTTATCTTTCCCTCCCTGGCTTTAGGCCTGCTCTGTAGCTGTTGCTGAAATCAAGGGTGCAATTCTCACTCAGTGACTTTGATGGGAGCAGGAAGAGGATTTCACACGGGAAAGGATTCCATGTGTAACGTAGCTTTACACTAGGCTTTTCTCCTGATGCATTTCCAACTCTCTGCTGGAAATAGTCACTATGTAGCATTTGCACACTTCACCTGCTGATGTATTCCATACTCCGTGCACTCCTTACTCCTTGGTGATCACATCTTATACCAGAGCAAACACCATGCGAAGGAGAATCATGAAGAAAGGCAAAAGATGCGTGTGTGCTGTGGTGAGTGGGTGCTGGTGCCTCCTGGCACACACTCAGTGGGCTGTGCTCTGCCCGTCTTGCAGCGCTAGCACATGCCACCTGATCCAGCCACCCAGAGGGAAGATGTATGGCACTCAGCTACTGCTGGGAACATGCCTTCTGGGGTCACGACTCCTCAGCAGCAGGGTGGTGTCACCAACCCCCCTCCCCTTGGACCAGTGGGTTGGATGGACTCATAGCCCCAGCACCACTGGGCAGGCAGGACAGCAGTCTGGATTTATGCACATAGGAGTGGCCTCCAAAATTATTTGAAACATGCAACAGAGGACAAAGAAGAGCCCATGGGTAGGAGAGGAGTGAGCCCTAGCCATGCCAGGACTTCCTCTCTTCTCTGAAGCAGAAAAATAAGGCTATTTCTGAGGGCAATGTGAGCCTTAGCTGGCCCCAGTGACCGCAACTGAAGAACAGATACATAACCTGAACTGGAATTAATGGCTTTTAAAATGTCCATGTATTATGGGAACTTTAAAGAAATGTAGAAAGTAGTATTTCTTGACTTTGGAGTTATAGCTGGTGCTATGAAACACATTCCTTTCCCATATATTTAGCTGCCACTGAATGACATTTGATGTGAAAGGTGAGAATAGAAAGAAGATACTATTTCACAACCACAGGATCCAATTTTAAGGAAGGGAATAACACTTTTGACTAGCTATATATTCACTGGTCTATATAATTTAGTGGTACATTATATCCCCCTTTGGGCTGCAGTACTGTGATTAGAGGAGCAAAAATAGCAAATGCACAGAACTGCAATGATTGATGTAACATGATCAATAAGGAGAAATTCAGCTGTCTGAGGCTTAAACTGCTATGTCAAACCAGTGAAGTGCTAAGTTTAAGATCTAAGAGGTATTTCTTTAGTTCTTACAAATTAGGGGCCTAATTTCTTCATGCTTGCTTTAGCCATACCCACACACCTCTCCACTGATTTGTGCAGCGGTATACCTGAAAAAAACACCTCTTCCCTACCTCTTTATTTAAAATCATGTCATGCGCTCCTAAAGCCCCTGTGCCTGGGGCAGAGGAGAGGACCCAGGCTCGACCAAAGCATGATTGCTCCTCTCCTGCTTGCCTGCCCTGCCAACTCCTTGCTGCTCCCACAGCCCTGGTGCCAGCACTGGCGCAATGGCTCCCAGCCCAGTGCCAGCAGGGCAGTGGGACCGGCAGCCAGGGGCACGGTGGAATAAGCAAGCCAGCAGAAAGCTGTTGGCTGGGGACCAATTTCCAGCACATTAACAGATGCAGCTGGAGAAGCTGGGGCTGCCTGGCATGGGCAGCAGGCCTGTCCAGGCAGGATCGGGGGAGCTTTGCCACAGGGCTGTCACTGGCTATGGGAAGAGGAGAGGAGAGGAAAGAGGCTCTGGGGCAGCCCAGGGCCAGCCTCCCCTTCCATGGAGCATCTGCCCACCGTCTCCTAAGTCTGTAACTTGTGCAAAGACACAGAGACTGTGTGTGCTTCTGGTGCTGGGTGAGGCCCCTGGATTTGGGTTGAGCTATGTTGTAACCACCAGTGGAACGATCCCTGAGCACTTTGTCCTAGCTCAGGTTTACAATTGCCAGGGCTGGGCCCCGGCAAGCCACTAGATGCTTCCTTCTCTGGGAAGGACAGCCCTGTCTGCCTTGCTACCAGCTTTCCCTCTGGGATCTGCTAAGGAGCATTTCCAGGGGTCCCTCACAGGAACATTTCATATCCAGCAAAACTGCTGCATGTGCGGAGTGTTCCCAGGGCAGGGATACATTGAGCCAGTGTGTCCAGAAAGGGACTTGGGACTGTGTCTGGGAGGTGAAACCGCAGCTGAGGGTAGGGAGGAAAACAACCATAATAAAGGGAGTATTATTAGCGGGAAAGACCACAATGAGCCTGGCAGTTTGAAGCCATGAGGGACTAGCATGCTGGTCTGTAGAGCTCTGGACTAGCCATGGGTATCTCCTTGCAGAGCGCAGATACCAACCTATTGGAAGTGGCCTACAGGGAGATTCTGCCTTGGTAGAAGCTTGCTCTCAGGTTACTCTTGATTAGCTTAAAGATAACTGCAAATACAGGCTGCAGAGCTTATCATGTGTTTTTTCTTGCCGTGACAAGCTCAGTGGGAAGCACCAACAGGTCATGTTTGCTTGCTCTAGGAGTCTGTGCGATAGCTCCAACAGCTGTCCACTATTAACTGTGTCTTCTCGGTTGCGTTAGTCGGTTGAAGCATGATAGGATTTTCTCCATCTAAATTGGGCAGGAGGAGGACAAAAAATATTTTAAGAATCCTTCACTTGCTACCAAAGTTAGTTTTCTTGTTAGCACCACAAGATTTCATCTGCTTTTCCGGCTGCTGTTTAACTTTGGCTTCTGTGTTAGGCAGCTGTGTGCATACGAATCTACGAATGCTTCTACTCCTTGTTTACATGTAATAGCAGATTTCTGGGTGACTGTTGCTGTTCTTATTAAACTGGACATCAGCTGTACCTGGTGCTTTGCAGAGATTGCAGGATAAGGGTTCCTGCCTGTTCCAATTGCAAGTGCTTGTTTCTGCAAATGTCTGAATATAATGAGTGCTGTTGTGAGTCAGCAAGCACTAACCTTGGCAGCATTTGTGAGAATGGGACAGAAATGAGTCTCAAAGAAAGCAAAATTAACAGTAAAGAAAGAAGAGAGTTAAAAGGAAAAAAATCCGTGAACAGTAATATACTTGAGAGGGAATAAATCACATATGTCCTGAAAGCCAGCTAGTTAAATAAAAATATTAAATTGTCATTTGAAGTCTTATGTAATATATATACAATAGGATTTTGAGAATTACTGTTTTAATGAGTTTGGAACTTCCAAAACCTCATATTATCACTATATATATCCCTACTGCTTTGTAGTTTCTTACTGCCTGCAGTTATGTGTTTGGTGTCCCAATATACCTGTAAAAAATGTTCTTGTTGTAGAGTGGAGGAAAATGAAGTCCTTACAGAGTTCCCTGATGGCCGTTGTGTTCCCTCTGATAATGAATGTGGTTTGACTTCCCTTATTCTGGGCCTTTTTCCAGTCCACCATTTTTTTTGAAGGGAGGAGGGGACTGAAGACTCAGAGACTGACTTTTAAAGATCCAGCCATCTCAGTGAAGTGTTTTAATTTGAAAAATTTTGGACTACCTATATCTTGATACTAGCACAGCCTTCACAGTAATTGAATACCAATGATGATTTTTTTTGGCAAATGACTGAATGTTCAGTAAAAAACCTCATCTGACATTTCCTCCTGTTTACATGACAGTTGACGGGATGGGCAAAAGATGTAATGTACAGAAGTAACTTAACGCAAAGGAGGAATCTAATTGCATGCCATACGGCTTCCCCTCAGTGGGGGTAGAACAACTTTGACTCTGTCAAGGTGAAAGGCAAGAATGATTAAATGCCAAGCAGCTTCTCTGTATGGGCAATTCTGTATTTAGACACAAGGTCACAGACAGACATGTTTCATAACTTCTAAAAGTCTATGAGTAATTAATGCTTAGAGCTCAGCTCGGGCTCAGATTAGTTTGTCAGTTCCAACCCATTTTTAAGTTTCTGTGTATTTTCTAGATTTCTGAGCAGCACTCCCTCCCACCCTCCAAGTTGTTCATTTTCTGGAAGATCATTGATGAAGGGCAGAGACTAGCAGTTCATTTTGCTGTGATACCCAGATGTGCAACAACAGAATAGGACCCACTGCAAATCTGTCGCATTGCTTCCCGCTGATCTGCAGACAGTTCTGAGCTGACACCTTCACCAAACATTTTGTTGTCTGCACCCTTCTAAGATTTATGATGTTTTTTATCAGAACAGGGACCCATGGTATAAAAAACTGTACAAATATAGCCTGCTAATGGAGAGCTGCAGAATAGAGGTGCAGCAGAATTCACAGTTTAAACTGCTTTCTATAGATAGCTCTTGCTCACTCTTCGCCTACTATTGGTATCATATGGAGTGCGGAGGAGACAATGAAGTGCTAAAAACTTGTTGCTTCAGGTTATTTTTTTCTTTTTCTTTTTTTTTTTTTTTTTTTCTCTCCCACATTTCATTTTCTGTAAAATGGAAGTTGGTCTAGAAATGCCTTGCTTTGTTCTTATGATGCTAACCTAGCAGGAGACGAGAAAAACCTTCCAAACTGCTTGAATGCCTCAGTTACAACCTGAAGTACCAGGTAAATCCAAATTCCAATGGCACCTCCTCTAGGACCACAAAAGCCAACAAAAGGTTTGACATCAACTTCAGTGGAAGCAAAATGTGGCAACCTGCCCCGTGTGTGTGAGTGAAAGCAATGAACCGTTGCATGCCTCTGTGCTGCAGATGAGTGAGTGATACTTCTCTCTGCCAGGGTATTTTTGCAGCTCACCTGTAATGCCATGGCATGATACCACGGATTACCCTACTTTACACTTTTTTAATGTCACACTTCAAATGTAACAATCCAAATATAAGAATTTCTTTTTGATCTTTCATTGTACATTAGGCCACAGTCCTTCTGTGGTACAAATCAATAGTCATGAGAAGAAATCACAGTAACCTAAGTACAGGCCAGGTCTTGCAAATCCCAAAGTTCCTTCAGTTCTGATGGCAATGCTACCCGTGGAAGTACACACTGTAAAATGAATCTCCACAGCAGATACACAACTAGCTGAGCACTGGAACTAGTCAAATACATTTGAATAAAACTTTCTTCTAGAGGAATATGCCATTACGTCAGAATTGAAGCCTTTGACATGTTTGTGTTGATTTCAGGGACAACTTACTTTTCTTTACTTCTACATTTTAGGGAATAGATCACTGAATTTTCGGCCTCACATATTTTTCCTTAATAAATATGTTTTATGGTATGTTAATTTGAGGAATCAAATGAACTCTGTAACACTTTGGTTTTGTTAAGGAGAAATGTGAGTGACTCTGAAACTTATTCCTGTTGTGTCAATTCAAAGATGAAATCTAAATCTCAACTCCCACAACACACATTGTCTCTTCTGTGCAGTACCACTGTCTCAGGCAGCTTCCACTAAGCACAGCAACAACTGTGGGAGACTCGGTCTCAGAGGTTTTTAGCATCAGGAATGGCAATGTTTTATCACTGTTCCATTCCTCAGAAAAGCAATGACTGACTACAAAATATTTGGATAAATTAAAGTATGGCCTTAGCTTGAGAATCTACATTTTGACCTTAGCAAAAGAGTTCTGACTAGCAATAGCATAGGTACTGGAGAGAGCAGGAAGCAAATAAATTAATTACCAGCTAGAATGCTCAGTCTGTGGGCAGAGGGCATGCAAAGAATTTGTATCCTAACAGGATTTCCTCTTCCAAAATGAAATCTGCTGCAGGAGTGATTACAGTTTGTTTCTAAATTACCTACAGGAGCATCTCTATAGTTTACATAAAGGAAGGCATGAGTATTCACTTCTATGGCCTGACATTTGAAAATGTCTGGTGGAAAAGCCCAATCTTTGCCATTCTAAGTCAGCTGCATCATTTTGGCCAGCACTCCTAAAATTTGGGGGGGGTGGTGGGGTGTGGAGGGAGGAAGTGCAGTTTGAGCTGGTTATTAATTTTTCTAAACGCAGCATCTGTTTTCCTTTCAGCTGCAGAAAAAATGCTCATATTATCCCTCTGTCATGAAGATTTTACTTCTGTTCCTGATGTGTTGCTCTCTTTTAATCTAATTTTAAAATACAGAGAATTTTACTCTACCAAGGCAAACTGGTTTTGATTGGTAGGAAAATGTAGCAAGACTGAAGAGAAGGGTAGGAAAGTTAGAAATATCTCGTTTTCTGCAGACTCTACATATAAGTATATAGATACTTAATATTTCCTTCAAAATACCTGTATGTAATAAGTATGTAATTCCATATTCTGTTAATTTCTCAGACTGGTACTTTACTAAACATTTAAAATAATTTTTTTGATTTGGTATCTCAGTGAGACTTTGTGGGAGAAAAGGGATGGGAAGGTGGCCTAATACCAATAAATACCCCCTGTGCCAGAAGGAGGGAGAAATTTTTTTTCTGCCACTGGGGAATTTTGTACTGGATTTTGAGAGAAAGCAAAATATCTGCCAAATTACAAAAAAAGGTAGAATTCAAAAATTCTTATCCTTCAAAGTTCCATCTTCATGTTTCAAACTCGGGTTTGGTGTCATAGACCCATTCAAGGCTCATTTTAGATTTGCACTTTTCAGGTGCTTAACGTCATAGAGTATATTACATTTATTTCAAATAATGCATTTATTATAAAGTTTTCACTAATAGTTTTTGCTGCCTCTGCAGGGACTGATCAAGTATGATCAATTTTTAAGGTGGCTATATTTACCTTGATACACCTCTAGGCAAAACCAATTTAAAAGCACCACCACATGTTGGCATACCAGTTACATAAATAGCATTTCTTTCAACTACTACAAGTGTTTTGTTACATATTTATGGAAGGGTAAATTTGTATGACAAGCTGGGGGGGAGGGTGTGTGGAATTCTTCCTGCTAAAGGAACATGACATTTGCAATCTGGCAGTGCTAATTTAAGCATGATAAACATAAGAATATAACAGTGCAAGATCTTCCATGACAATGGAAGAGAAAAGGAGTGTGCTGACTGCTTAGGTTCTTCCTCACAAAAAAAGCATAATCTTAATCATAATTCATATAAACTTGCAATTGAAAAGTGGCCTAGGTCTTACCCTGATACCTTGGCCTCTTATTGATGGAGCAAGGACCATTGCCTCTCTCAGCCTGTCCTGCAAGTGTCCAAATCTAACTGTTTTGAGACATTTCTGCTTCCCCTGAAGATGAAGGCAAAACTCTGCCCCACTTCAGCAGATTAGGACAGAGCCTTTTGTTTAAAATATGTAACCTACGCTAGTGCCAAAATAGGAAATCACCCCCATCATCCTTTGGTATAGCCAAATCCTGAGTGTGCAGCCTGGAGGGGACACAGCAAAGCTGAGAAAAGAGGGTGACCTGCTGCAAAGGTGATCCTGCTGCTCCCAACCCGTGTTCCCAGCCAGGCGCTCTTGCTCCTTCTTTGAGCTGGCATTAGCACTTGGCCTGCCCTACTGTGAAACACAGCAGGGAGTTAAACAAGCAGAGAAATACACACATTTTTGAGACGATTCATTTTCACCTGGATCGTATCCAAGATACGGCTCCTGGTAAGGCAGCACAATTGGTGCTGCCAGTGCAGAAGGGAGTGAGCAGCTTGGGGGCTGGATAGCAGAGAGGCAGGAACATGGCAGCTCCGGTGCAAACTCTTTTAGGTTACTGCACAACCTTGCTGTTGGAAACTTTGCATCTTTTATTTAAGCCTTTCCTTGAATGGATACAGTTGGCCCATCACAGTCAGTGATAAATTTTACATGAATGAAAACCAAATAACAGCTTATTCAGGCAGATCAGACGTTACAAGCACCAGTCCAGGCAGAGCCTAATGTATAAGTACAGGATCTAGGATATGAAGCAACGTGGGCATGGAGGCTAGAAGGTGAAAAATGAAAAACCAAAGTTTAAGTGTCTCAGAAGAGAGACAGTAAATATTTAATTGTTAGTGCCATAAGTTTGGTTTTTCATTAGCACACAACTTGGGAAGTTTACCAGGTCATGGTGTTAGCTAGACTGAATTGGCATGTCTCCACTGATGTCTGGAAGAAGCTTTAGCATTGTGAGCAGAACACCTGTCCTACAGGCTTTAAAAATTATTTTGAACAGCTTTGCCACACAGTAAGCCCCTATAATACATACCTCTTTTCATGTCATTCTTAATTTGCTCTTCCAAATCTAGAGACACGCAAAACTCTGGCTCTTCCCCTTCGAGTGCTTTGGGTTTACACTTTCCACAGCAGCAGCTGAAGCAGCAGCAGAGGCAGCAGCAGAGGTAGCAGCCTGTCAGCAGGCCACAGACTGCAAACAGGCCCTGGGTTAAACACAGCAGGAAAACCCTGTGAGCAATGACCTTCCTCAAACTCATGGCAGCCTCTCACAGCCAAAGGCAGATCATCAAAGGAACTCAGGTTCCCAAAGTGCTTGGCACTCAGAGGAGTCCAGCTGCCAACCAAGTGCCTAAACAAGGGCCGGATCTTCCAAAGTCCTCCTCACCCATGAGCTCCCACTTGCTGCTCAGGACCATGTCCACAAAGAAGACACCAACCAACAGGCCCCCGCATGCTCGGCTTTTGAAAGTCTGTTTTCAGCTGGTGGCCCTCAGAAAAAACCTCCAGGCGGTATGCAAAACCCCACCCACCTTAAAATGACTCATTTCCATCTTAAAAATGACTCATTTGCCGAAGATCGTTTCTGCAAACACTTATTTACTGGCAGGTTCTTGTCGATAACAAAGCTGAGAGAAAAAGAAGCAAAGCCCCAGATGCATCCCCACATAACTTCAGGCACTGAACTACAGCATCCAAATTAGGACTGTAGTCCCTATGGGCCCCACACACAGTCAATGGGAAGATAAAAGCCCTTCCAGAGGGTGATTCAGCCCCAGGAGGATTTGAATTGCCTGTTGGGGGTGTTTTTGCCTATTAGCCTGCTCAGGAGCACACAGATGACAACTCCTAAATTAGACTTCTCAAGCTGTTGTTTCTTGGTCTGAGGACTCAGGCGGCAAGAGTTCCCACCTGCATTGCCGTCTGCACACTCCTGTCCCTGTGGCACAAAGGATGGAGGCTTCAGTAGAGCCAAGCACTGGGGTGGAGACCAGAGATCTAAGCCAGATTCAACATCCAGAAAACTTTAGTTTATAGAGCTTTTCTTCCTCCAGGTGAGGTCACTGCCTGGGTTCACAGTACAGCTCCACAGCTGCTTGCCTTGGGGGCTGCATGCTGTGTTGCAGCAATGGGATGGGGACCTGCAGCAGGGAAGTCCCTAGGTTGGTATTGTCACCCTGTTCTCCATGGGGGCATGACAGCAGCCTGGCTCTTGGTCTGGGGTGGATCCAGGTCTGCGCCATGGTGTTTGTGGCAAAGGAGAAACCTCCATGTCTCTTCATGAACATAGTGGTATAAGAGTAAAGGAAAGCCAGAGACATTCCTGAAGTGAATCAAAGCTGATGTGTGGAATGTGCATGTGAAGTCAGCACAGTTTTGTGGCCACCAGGGTTGGAGGTATAGTCAGGCTTTAGCATTACGAATATACAGTCTGCCTTTTACCAACTATTTGTTATATTCATAAGAAAATATGCTGCTGAGGAAGAAAGCAAGCACAAACTTCAGGATATTGTCAAACTTTGACAATGAAGCTGCGTAAATAACACTCAGTTATGTATTCACATCTCAGGCAATGTTAAGTGGGGGCCGACTGGAGCATCTCTGAAAGTAGTAAGACTATATACATGCCTAATATTAATACAGGCATGTATCAAGAGTGAGCAAAGTGGTTTTAAATTAAAAGGACTCTGACTTTTTGTTTTAAAATATTTTCCTTCCAATAGACACCCAAAACTGTTCTAAATGCTGTAACCCCTAAATTATTTGACTGTTTATCATTTATGCCATAATGAAGAATAAATCACCACAATGGATAGAATGAAAAAAGACAGAATAAAAGTGTATAGTTGAATTTATTCATGATACCTTAAATGTTTCAAGATTTCTTGTGCTTATATTATCATAGTTGGTAAATCAAGAATCAGTTTATTGATGTGATCAATAAACTGTCTTCGTGGTAGAGGGAGAATTGCTTTTTGCTAAAACAGTTAAACGAACAACCCCTATGCCTGCCAGTGGAGAAGCACTTAAAGTTCTTGTTACCCATGTCAGTATGTTCCCAGTTTAATATACCTGCTAGGAAGTCTGGCACTCCAAAAAAGGTAATTTTCGCTTTGCATTTCTCCTTTCATTTGATTTTCCCTACTTCTAATGATACATCTCCTCACAATTGGCAGATTTTCTGAATATGAGTGTGCTAGGAAACAGGCTTTATCATGAATTATGCTAGTTGAAGAGGAAGATAACGAGCAAAAGCTGTGGTCCCTACTGTTAGGAGTCCAGAGGCCATCTGCAGATGATGCCTCAGACTCAAATAGTATTATGATGGCCTATATAAAAATATTAAACTGTCCCATCATTCATGCATGAGTTAAAAAGAGATGAGGAATAGTGAGCTCAGCTTGCAAAAAACCCACTTGGTGGCCTGTTTATGCTTTGGAGGTGGCAAGATTTTGGGTTGGGGGAGGGATAGAGAGACCATCTGTGACAACCCTCAAATGAGTATATGCATAATTTGGACTTTTTGTACAAAATTCTTAAAAACTAGGAAGCAGTGATTACTTTTGCTGGGATTTTCAGCATATCTTGTCTCACCTCTGGGATACAGCTCCACTGGGACAATCTACACATTCCTTCTTCAGCTATTAGGGACTCACTAGCTTCCTTCTGTACTCCCCACTGCTCTCCTTATGAGTCAAAGCCACAGCAGTTATTTCTGTTTCTGGTTTTCTAAACACAGATGGTTTTCTACTTCATAAAGTCTCCATTAAAGATCAGTAAGCAGAAGAGGAAATAAAAGCTAAAGAAACAGGAAACAGTGAAGAAAACCTTGTTTACCAAGACTGTTGAAGGAGTCAATACTGCTGCTCTCTCAGCTCTAAGGAGATGCTTCCTGGAACCTGAACTGTGACAAAGAGGCTGGACAAGAGGGTGGACAGCAAAGAAAAGAGGGAATGATCGAGCAGGAGAAGACAGTGGCTGTGCTGGTGAGTCCAGCCTGCAGTAGGAGTCAGCTACGACAGCTGCAAGCCAACAGCCTCCAGCCTGCTTCCGAGGGTGCAACTGTGCCTTTGCAAGTGTAATTTAAACATCAGTATTTTATTAATTAGTTTAATTCAGTGTTCTACATTTGAGCACCTTCTGTCTCATCCTGATTCAGCAGTCAAATTATGGCTTCTCAGACCCACAAAGTGCTGAAGTGACTTCCCAGTTTGAAAGGGGACTGTGG